TTATCTAGGCCGTCAAGGAGTTCGGCTAATTATAGGTACGGGCACACACTTTGTTTTGTCAGACACTGCTCCGGCTCACCACTGAGGGGGTGACCCAGATGAATCATGAACTACTACGGCAGAAATAACTGTTCTGACCCGAGGACGAAATCAATTCACAAATTGAACTGTTCCGGAAAGAAAATTCATCCAGTTGACCCTTTTGTGTGGCGCCCGACATTTAGGCGCCACACTACACTGTGCAGCGCCTAGATCTTAGGCGCCACGCTTCTGGCCAGCGTGGCACCCCTGGACCCCGCACCCAGCAGTGCGGCGCCTTTGAGCTAGGCGCCACACAAGTAATGTGCAACGCCTAACAGCCAGGCGCTGCACATGCACTTACTAACTGCCGCGGACATCTATTTCTAGTGCCTGAAAATTACTAAGTCAGTGTGCAGCGCCTGAGGGATAGGCGCTACACTATACAGTGTAGCGCCTGACGTCTAGGCGCTGCACAATTGATCAACAAGGCGATGGGCGCGCGATGCTAGCTTGTGAGGTCGGAGCGGAGAGGGACCATGCATGTACATGTAAGGTCGGACCAAGCAAGCAAGGGCCAGCTTAAAACCTCTCGCTCTCTCCCATCCACCACGCCACCACCAAGTACAAGACGTAGTGCCACAGTGTCAATGACAGTTTGCCGCTAGCTGCTTGTGCAGTCGGGCACGCCTGGACCTGGCTAGCTAGCTTCCTCAACTATCCTGCAGCTGCATGCATGCTGGTCATGGTCAGCCTGGTGCTACTGCTAGCTAGCTAGCTAGCCATACATAGGTCGATCTTGCGTGTCCCAGGGATGACATAACTCTTGGCAGATTTAGGACTTAGGTACATATACACACACGCATCGCATGCACGCGCAGCTACTAGCTATATGGGCTTAAAGTTAGGCTAGCTAGAGACAGAAGACAAATTTCATTTCATTTCTTTTGGGTATAGGCTTTCGTGCACAATGATTCGTAGCTGTCAGTGCCCATCGATCGATCAGCCGACCGAGTGGCCAAAGGGAGACAGGCGTACGTACGGGCTCGTGTGACTCCGTCTACCTACCAATCGCCATCGTCCGGACTTTTGCTTGTTATGCATAGTGCAGCGCCTAGATATCAGGCGCTACACTGTATAGTGTAGCGCCTAACACTCAGGCGCTGCACACTGACTTGGCAATTTTTAGGCATCAGAAACAAATGTTCGCGACAGTTAATAAGTGCATGTGCAATGTCTAAGAGCTAGGCGCTGCACATTATGTGTGTGACGCCTAGATCAAAGGCGTTGCACTGCTTGGTGCGGGCCCAGGGATGCCACGGTGGCCGAAAGTGTGGCGCCTAAGATCTGGGCGCTGCACAGTGTAGTGTGGCGCCTAGATGTCGGGCGCCACACAAAAGGGTCAGGTGAGTGAATTTTTTTTTGAGACAGTTTAGTTTGTGAATTGATTTCACCCTGAGGTCAAAACAGTGATTTCTGCCAACTACTACTACCCACCATGCCCAGACCCGAGCGTCCGTCACGTTTGGCTTCTTCCCACACTGCGGCCCCCACCTCCTCACTGTGCTCTCCCAATCCCAGGGTGTCAGAAGGTGGCTCCTCGTTCCACAGTACCCGATGCGTTTGCCATCAACTTGGGCAACAGACGGAGTCATTGAGATATGATCGCCAATAGCAACAGTGCGTGTGTGTGATTTTGCGGTAGGCACTGAAAATATCAACAGCAGCCAGTGTCCTAAAAGGATTCAGGCAGTATGCATCTTAGGCATTACATCTCAAAGAAAGAAAGAAAAAAAAATCAAAAGCAGTGTCGAAATAGCTGTTACTCTCTACTACTCCCTTCGTTCCAAAATAGATGACTCAACTTTGTACTAATTTTAATATAAAAGTGGGTCATCTATTTTGGAACGGAGGGAGTACCCGATGCGTTTGCCATCAACTTGGGCAACAAATGGAGTCATTGAGATATGATCGCCAATAGCAATCGGTTGCTGGCAAGGGTCGAGCACCATGTGGTCATCAACTTCATAGCAGCGAGGTTATTGGTGGTGACCCTCGTCATGCCCAAGATGGAGTGCTAAACAGGCCCGACGCCGTAGACGGTGGACGAGGCAAGGAATCCGGCCAAGTACTGGGAGTTCATGGAGGCATACGGAGAGAGTCCTGGAGTCCTTCAAGATCTAGTACTGCGGTTCTAGGGTCAATAATTTGTTGCCGAGGGAAACCAAATTAGGCTGTGTTTTAACTACTAATAATGTGTTATACTCTCTGTTTGTCTGGTTTGCCTTTATGTTCCAAGCACTCCTTCGACTACATGTTTGGTGTTTTCTGTGTAGTACTATCCATTTTCTTTAACAATGCCTGCCTATATGTCCTATGCAAGTCATTAGCAAACCGCGGAGAGCACAGTGTGATGTGCATGAAAATAGAGTTATTAGACACAATTAGTATGGAGCGATTAGAATATGGATATTCCTGTTGCAACGCACGGACAATTAACTAGTGACAACTAAAGCACAAGAATGCACTTACAAAGAATCTATAGACAAGATGACAAGCAGAAAACAGAACATAGAATAGAACAGAGGCAAAATATAACCATGACAGTAAATTTTCCACATGAAATTGTTTCCAGTAGCTTGCAAACTGTTGGATGGAACTCTGCAGTTCTGCAGCTATGAACAGCTAGCTGTAAGGCGTGAATTCAACTAATGACATGAAAGGCAATGAGAGAAAGAGAAACAAGTGCAGAATTTCACTAACAAAAATCTGAAGATGGCCCATCACTGAGCACTGATACTTCCTAAATCACTCTTCAAATCTGAACATGGGAAAAAATGGAACTGACAACATATAATTCGTTCAACCATGATTTGGAAAAATATAATTGGATGAGACCATTCAGCCATGTCATCCAGGCCGGCCAGGAGTTCGGCTTCTGACAGGTACAGTCACGCACTTTGTTTTTGTGGCTCACCCACCGCTGAGGCGGTGGCCCAGATAAACGTGAACTACTACCCGCCATGCCCAGACCCGACTGTCACTGTCATGCTTGGCTTCTTCCCACACTGCAACCCCACCTCCTCACCACACCCTCTCCCAATCCCAGGGTGACAGAAGGTGTCTCCTCATCCCACAGTACCCAATGCGTTTGTCATCAACTTGGGCACCAGACCAAGTCATTGAGATATAATCACCAATAGCAATGAGGTGATGGCGAGGGTCAAGCACAGCACCAAGTGGTCACCAACTCCCTAGTCATGCCCAAGATGGAGTGCCGCATAGGTCCCCTATACCGGAGACGGTGGACGAGGCAAGGAATCTGGCCAAGTATTGGGAGTTCATGGAGGCATACCATGCCGCTGACGACAGCAGGGAGAGAATCCTCGAGTTCTTCAATATCCACCACTATCTCTATTTCTATGAGTTTGGGTTGCCTGTCGCCTCCCCTCCTGGGCTGTAATTTCCTCTCCTTCCGAAATTGTTTCTCCTTCTGTTGTGATCGCCTTTGCTAAGACCTGCAATCTCTCAATAAATTTGTATTGCCACTATCTTCCATATTTTCCATTTCATTATTTCATATCACATATAATGGTCGGAATTCGTATTCAGTCTTGCAGAAGTAACAAATAAATGGAAGGAACTGAAGATGCATTATTAACTGCAACAGAATAAAACTAGAGCAGAACTATCTGTAAGAAACACGCTGATAACACCAGATCATAACACCAGATGATAGGTCTCCTGTTGTGTGACAGTGTGAGCAGTATAGAGAAGGAACAGAATTTATATGTCAAGATAGTGGATGTGGATACTCCCTTTACTTTTGCAAGTTGCCGATACTATATATGTGCAAGTCAGAAACTATATATGTGCACCAACACACTGCCGGTTCTGAAATGGTTCACCTCATAGAAAAGGAAAGACAAAAGATGAAAAATCATGGGCATCTGAACAGTAAGCCCGACTAAGCTGCACCCTTTGTTTTCTCCCTAACGGTGGTAAGACAGGATAGCATCGATTCTTTTAGTCTTCAGCCACATACATCTTACTCTGCCAAGAACCTAATGTCGCTACTACTTATTGAATAGTACTCCTATCGTACAGTAAAAGAAGATGCTAAGTTTTAAATCAAATCATTGGATTTTGATAATCACCCAAAAAGACATCAACAGCTGTTGTGACCTTGCCAAGGGAAAACAATCATGCGGGCCTAGTATATAAATTCAGTTTTGTGTTTCTAAGAACAGTGCTCATTGCAATGTAAACCTGAGAAACATACAACTCATTTCAATCACATATACTCCCTCCGTTCCAAATTACTTGACTTTCATTTGTCTAGATACGAATGTATCTATACTTGTTTAGTGTCTAGATACATCCGTATCTAGACAAATGGAGGTCAATTAATTTGGAACGGAGGGAGTACAACAATTGTCTATTTTGATCATTAAGGTCAACTATGGTATTTAGCAACAAAGACAATATATCCTTAGGAAAAATGGTAAAGAAATCAAAAGGCAAAAAACAGACACCCATTAGAAGTTTATTTTATAAGTATAATCCAAATATTAAACAAAGTATCATAGGAGTAGGATGGAATCTAAAAGACAATCAACTGAAAATGGAACATGCATGAATAAACTTTGGCATGAAAGCAGACCATAGTACTGATACATTTCTTTTGTTTCCTGGTTTCCATGATCTTCCAGTGATGTCAGAAACACAAATATATCCATGGACTTCTCATTTTCAGAGATCTTCTCTAAGGAAAGACAACATCAGCACACCAGGGTTCAGGAATCAAAGTATCAATTTCATAAGGAGTTAGCAATGACCAAAGTAGCATGTAACGGGCATACTTAAGACATAAATATCCATTTAGCCAAAGTACACCAAAGCAGGAATTACCAGCTTACTCTGCCAAGTGGAAACTTTGTTGCGACATACAGAGTAACCAATTTTCATAGCCTGTTCCTAGTTCATCTAAATATGATACTACTTGTCGGCACCTCCCCTTTGCAAGCAGTTGCATAGTCTCCGGCGAGGTGTGGTGCAGCTTCCTTGTGAGGGCATATGAACTTCTCCACAAATACCTTCTCAGTCATCATGACTGCAGTATGGAAGCTCAGCTTGCGATCTACCAATCCATTTCCCTTGAGGAACTTCAGAACATAGTACCTGGGCCTGACCCGGCCTTCCAGGCTAAGACAGAGAATTACCGGTCGATGAGCAACGTAAACGGGTTCCAGTCCCACCTCAGAGAACAGGAACTCAGACCTGCGCTTTAGAGATTCCTTTGACTTCCTCAGCACCATCGGCCCCTTACAGACAGCAATGCTCACTTCGGCATCAGACCACCTGAACGTCTTCTTCAAGTAGTCCAATTTGGCGTTGATCTTCTCCTCGTTGAGAAACACGACAGCCTGTAGCGCTTGCCTGAACATCCCAGCGCCACGAGGTACACCTAATCTTTCAGCACATGCCACCATTGCACGGACGCGCTCAGGATTGGTGGCCAGCATCCACGGCACAGCGATACACAGCTTGGCAATATCACAATCACCTAGCCCGCACTCCCTCAAGAAGGCAACATTGGGCTTGACCAACTTATCGAGGTCCGACGACAGAAGGTGGGATGAGCGCTTGAGCGTCCGGAGGAAGCTGTGGAAGGAGCCGAAGAGGGTGAGGTAGTAGTGCATCTTGGAGACTATGGATCTACGACGGAAGCGGTCGGGGGTGAGGGAGACAAGGCGGGCGATGTCAGGACGCGAGAGACCTAGGCCAGTGAGCCCGACGACCTTAGGAGCCAGTGTTTGGTCCACTTTGGCGCATAGGAGCCGCGGGTCTTTGGCGACGGCGGCGGCGGCATCGGCGCCGGAGAGGCCGAGGCCGGTGAGGAAGGCGAGGACGGCGTTGGGTTTGGCGGGGGACTTGAGGTGGGAGAGCTTCGTGGCGGCCTTGAGGGCTTGGGGGCGGGTGAGGCCGCAGGTGTCGACGAGGTAGTCCTCGACGGCGAATCCACTGGGGTTCGGGGAAATGGGGGCTGCGGATGCGGATGCGGATGCGGAGAGGAGGCGAAGCAGAGGGAAGATGGCAGAGGTGGAGGAAGGAGAGAGGAGACGGGAAACGACGCACTCTCGTAGCCGGAGCCGGAGCATGGCGCAGGGCGCGGCGGCGGCGGCGGCGACAGAGATTATCTCCGATGGATTGCGATGGAAGCTCTGCCTCTGCCTCTGCGTATTGGGTATGTTAGTCAGAATGGGCTGCACTTATTTTTTCTCTCCGTGTGCATGGGCTCTACTGGACTGTTCCGATGGATTGCGATGGCAATTTTTTTTTTCGAGAATCGATTGCCTATGCGTGTCAGAATGGGTTCATTTTTCTTCCCTTGTTCTAAGCAAAATCCATTTTCTTCCCTTCTCATGGTTGTATTTTTATTTACTTTCCCTATGTCTCCTCCACATTTTTATTTATTTATTTATTTTGTGCCATATTTTTTGTTGCATATTTTGTTTTATCTTTTATTTTTATTTATTACCCTTTTGGAATTTTCACTACAAACAAATGTGCAACACTTTCTTTTTCCTTTGACGCTGCTTATTAAACTGGAGAAAAACTTGGCATCTAATGGAAATTCTGTCTTCAAAATTGTTATTTTATTAAGTTCAAAAAATATGTTTCATGGAATAATTTGCTCATTTATATATAAATATTTTTAATCTGGTGAATAATCTTTACGATCATAGTGATGCACATTAACAAATTCCATAGACAATGAATATATCTTAAGAAATAGTATTATCTTTTTTATTTTGCATTAATTCTTAAGATAGAGAATACTTTTCACTAATAGATACTTTCTTCTCGGTATTAATTTTTTATTAATGTGAGAAAAAATAATAGGGTTGTATGAATTTTTGTTGTCTGATGATACAATTATTAGAGTGTAGTGAAGATTCTACTATCTGATATACTCCCTCCGTCCCAAAATTCTTGTCTTAGATTTGTCTAGATACGGATGTATCAGACTTGATACATCCGTATCTAGACAAATCTAAGACAAGAATTTTGGGACGGAGGGAGTATATCGTACGTCTGGACTCTGGTTGAGCAGCTTCTGCAGGGTGATGACAAAGATAATGGGTTAGCTAACAATTGCATTAGCAAAAAAAAAAGAAGCTAACAATTGCAAGGAAGAAGACAACAGTGACAATTGCAAGGAAGATGGCAAGCAGAAAGCAGAACCACATAAAACGGATGCAAAATGAAACCATGAAAATATATATTTTTTTCCACATGATATTGCTTCCAATAGTTTGCAGACAGTTGGATACATCTCTGCGGCGGTTTTGCAGCTAGGCTAATGACATAAAGCAATGAGAGAAAGAGAAGCTAAGTGCAGAATTTCGCTAACGAAATCAATCATCAATGGCCAAAAGAAACAAAACTAAATCACATTATAATACCTGGATTTCTTACTATTTTAAAAGCCAGACGGAAAGAGGATCAATTCTCAGAAAAACAATCAAAGTGTATGCCGAGTATGAGGCTACATGCCCTTCTTAGTTGAAGGAGATCATGTCCACGTATCTGAAGATGGAACGAGTGCAATACTGTCTCCATTGGGCCATCACTGAACACTGATACTTCCAAATCACTCTTAAAATCTCAACATGTGAAAAAAATGGAACTAAAAACACATAATTCGCTCAACCATGATTTAGAAAAATATAATCAGATAAATCATAAAACCATTCAGCCATGTTGTGATTTGCTCGATAGCATGTTCAAGATGAAATTTATGACAATCTGGGGAAGAAAAGATGGAATGGGAGACATATGACAAACCAACGCTATGATCCAGAGGAATTGAGGAGCAAACACATCACTATGATCACGGGAAGCATCACCATCCACGAATGCCACACTAGTCTGTGTATCAGTGTTCCATCCAATGGAGAATGAAATACCGCTATGCAACAGATAGCGTTACCAACAACATTTCACAATATGACAGACAAAAAAGGGACGATTGCCAAAACATGTCATCTGAACATACTGTATCATATCCCATCCAACCAGTCCATAATTAACCAGGATTCAGTACTAAAATAATCTGGATAAGATAAACTTTGGCATACCAAAATCAGCACTACAGTTGCACGATGCTGGAGGCTAGAGCAACGGATCATATTACAGCTAAAAAGGAGTGATGTGTTGTAATTGTAAGGTGATGTGTTCCCATGAAATGAGGACTGTTGAAACTGGATGTGAAAACCAGCGTTAGTTCGAATCTTTGACGACTGTAAGAAAAATCTTGGTATCTAGCTTAAGAATGTATACATGGCGTAGCAAAATTATGAAGTTTTGCCTTCGCTGATCATGTTTGTAGCATTGCACCACATATTATATTTACATACAGATTCAAGTGAACGCCAGTGGAGTAGTATCCCATTTAATTGACTGCCTGACACATGTTTCGACTTGTCTGCATTTTTCAAGGTACTCCCTCCAGATGTTCAGGGAGGAGCCGTCTTAGTACACACCATATAAGGCCAGCAGTGTTTGCAAAACCTATGATAAGAAGCTACTGGGCAACTAGTGTTTGCAAAACCTATGAAGGAATCACACACACACACACACGTCTACTATTTTGTTAGCAAAAGGAATTTTGTTCTAAGAAAACCGAACACTACAGAGCTAGATCAACATCATATAAATAAAGTATGAAGGAACACATGACGCACAATTACTTCAATATCCCAGCTTAACTTACAAAAGGCACCACATTTGCTGCACGATTCCCAATAATCACATGAAGGGCTTTGCCATATCTTGATCTAAGAAAAACAACAAGATAGCTTTTCCGTCAAAATCTACTAATCCAGTAATCACTGATCTACTTTAAGATACGAAAGTGATTTGTCAACAGAATTAGTTAAGCCCAGTCTCAATGTTCTGAAAACGTAAGAGCTCATGTCATACATATCTTGGAGTGGTAAAAGGAAAATATTAATAAAATAGCTCTAGCTCTCAATAGTCTAAACTGACGCATATGAAAAAATGGCCAAGATTGCACCTTCTATCTACTCTGGCTCTAAGTCCCAATTTAGTTTACAAGCCAAAGCATGAGAAAACAGCAGAAGGAAAAACGAGCTTGCAAATTTAAAATATGATTTGACACAAGGCATGTTTGCTTATTTCAAGATATCAAGCAACCTTCATTTGAGTTAAGGCAGATAACTTTTAAGCTATGCCACTGAAGAATAGGGACACCAAACAAAATAGTCAGCTTCTCATGCCCATCCATATATGAATGTTTGCAACAGAGTCCTGAGCAGGACTCTGAGCAGGACTAGTCGGACACACCCCGGACCATGGCCAGACCATACATAGGTCAGACCATGCCTGGACAGTGGTCAGATTATGCCCAGACACTGGCTGGACGCAGCCACGGACGACCTGACATGCCTGGCGCGTGCACGCACACACGCCCGACCAGTGGCGAACGCAGGAATAATTTCTAGGTGTGGCGGAGTGTATGAACAAAAAAACCATGTATAATTCAACTATGGAAGTGCTCACTAGAATACTCAATAAATATTACTTGGTGTTCAACAAATAAAACCGAAATCAAAACTTAACTATTGGCACTCTAAATACCTCAGCTGATGAAGATTACATGGATGATTGAGTGCCAAAAAAACCATTTATATTACCTAGACCGGCATAAAAATGACCTATAAAACATAAACACCAGAGATAAATCATGAATTAGTAACTAGTAGGATATAATGATAGAAACAACATTATGCAAGTGAAGATAGTTAGAAAGAATACATACCCATAATGAAGATTTACTCTCATTAAATAGAACGTGGCAATGGCATTCTTCTACCTTCATGTTGAAATTCTTTCTTAATTTCAGCAAGATCAAGTCCTTTAAATATCTCTCTCTCGATGTAGCACACCATTAAGTCATCAAGCCAACCATCGGACATCTTGCTGCGCAAATCAGTCTTGATGATCTTCATTGCTGAGAAGGCCCTTTCAACCGATGCCGTTGCCACCGATAGAAGCAACCCCAACTCAATAAGGCGATAAACCAGAGGGAACATAATATTTCTTTCAAGTTCAAACATTTTCTTGGCTAGGCTTGCAAGATCATAACAAACTCTAAAGTCATCATGTCTTTTCATGTGGTTGATGAACAACTGGAGCTCGGTTTTCATACGCTTACGGTCATCACTGGAGAAATCTGCATCATAGATGTCTGTAAGCTTAGACACTTTGTCCAAATCAAACTTGGAAAATGAGTCTCTTGGGTCAAGACAAGCAAATCCACATAGCAGTTCTGAAGCCATGTCATTAAAGCGATGATCCAGCTCTGTGGTGATAGCATCTATCGCTGCATAGAAGGTATCAACACGAAAAAAATGTTCTTGAGTAACATTATTTCTCCCTCCTTTTCTTGATCGGCCGAATCTCGGTACAACTTCATCCATATTTGGAACCGGAATATCATTAACATTACAAAAGATCTTGACATCTTCAAAGAGTGGTTCCCAACCATGGTTCCTCAAGTTGGCCAAGGAAGACCTCACATCTGTAACCAAAGACATGGCTTGAACAATATTCTGATCCTTCCGTTGGAGGAGAAGTGACAACTGATTTGTAATGCGAAGGATTTGCAACATCAACTTCATGATGAACACAAAGCTAAAAGACTCCATTATCTGCACCAAACCTCCTGCCCTAGATGGATTACGCTCATCCTCATGCACAATAGCTAACACTTGTATAACTGCATCCCACATCGATTCTATACGAACTAGTGTTTTATAATGAGAGCCCCATCTTGTATCTCCTGGTCTAGCCAATGATGTTTCTTGGTTTTTCCCTCTTCCTGAGAAAATTTCTCCACTCTCTAACTTAGCCAACAGATTTATGCGTTGCTTATCAAGCAATATATCCTTCCTCTTGCAAGACGAACCAGCGGCGTTCACAATCAAGGCCACATATTCAAAGAAATCCTCAATGGAAGAACAGCATCTTGAGACAGCAACAACTACTAGCTGCAATCGGTGGGCGAAACAATGCATATAGAAAGCATATGGGTTTTCATCTCGGACAAGTTTTTGAACACTATTGAATTCTC